TTTTTTTTTTTTTTTTTTTTTTTTTTTTTTTTGGGAAGAGTTTGGGAATGGTGTCTTCCTGTTCCAACATGACTGCATACCAGTTTACAAACCAAGGTCCAAAATACATGGATGAGTAAGTTTTGTGTGGAAGAACTTGACTGGCCTGCACAGGGTCCTGAACTCAACGCGATAGAAGACCTTTGGGATGAATTAGAGCGGAGATTACGAGCCAGGCCTTCTCGCCCAACATCATTGTCTGACCTCACAATTGCGCTTCTGGAAGAATGGTCAAAAATCCCCATAAACACACTCCTACACCTTTGTACCAACTTGGATTGGTTGTGGTTGAGGCACCACAGCCTACAGGAGTATCAATGCTGACCATCCCTTTATGACCACAGTATATCCGTCATCCTCCACCAATATAGCGTGCCATGTCATAAAATTCACATCATTTTAAACTGGTTTATTGATCATGACCATGAGTTTACAGTTGAAGTTGGCTGCATAAAATATTGCAGGGAAGTCAACCATCACGGTCCTGACGGACATGGGCATTCAAGGCAAGCTCAGTGGCAAGTTCTTAAAGCTCTGACTAGCACTGCAGAACAGGCTAGTCGTTGACTTTGAATCAACATTAGAGACACTATTTTAACTCTAAAGTAAAAGCGGTAACTGCAGCAATAAGGTAAATTAAGGGAGGTAATGCAGAGGGACACACACCCGAGATGGCAGATGTCGCTGGTAACACTTAGCTCCACATTCATACCATGAATGTGGCTAACAAATCTGCAGCATCTGTGTGACGCTATCATGTCAATACGGACCAAAATCTCTGAGGAATGTTTCCAGCCGCTTGTTAAAACTGTGCCATGAAGAATTAAAACAGTTCTGAAGGCAAAAGCAGTTCTAATCCAGCACAACTGAGATTTATCTAATGAAGTGGCTGATGAGAGTATGTCAAAGGGTAAAATCTGCAAAGTGCTTTGAGTGGTGAGTAGCAAAAGAAAAGTGCTATATAAATGCCAGCCTATTCCATCTCATGAATCAGTGTGTGCTTGTGTCTATTCCAAAAATGTGGTCCTGGAAACTTCTCGTACCTGGAACTAACACAAAGACGGGTTTAAGAATTTTGGTAGATGTTTATCACCTTGTGAGGTAGCTGGATTCTCCTCAGAATCGTGATAATGAGCAAACCTTTTTTGCCAAATTTCCAGCTTTGCGCTTGTAGCCCAACCACAGTTGGCTTGAAAGGTCAGTGTCTTGCGAGGATCTATTGGACGTGTTTAAGATGCGACAAAGTGTTTATATTGCTTGGTAAAATAAATGTAGTTTAATAAAGTATTCTGATTCTGATTGATTCTGTTTTATTTAGCCTAATCCTGCCATAACTATGAATTTTGCTTTTGTCTGCTGTTGCTGACTGTAGCAAAAGGTGGAGTGCTTCCCAGAAACTGTGCTGTGTTGATAGATGACTAAAGCTCAGTCCAACCACACTAGTTTTCTTGTTTTGTTAAGTGTATGACTTGGTTAAATGAGCCCAGAGAATATAATAAAGCTGCTGTAGAGAGTAATGGACATTTTCTTTTCTGAAAACAACACGTCAAGTGGAGGTCTTCTGAAAATATCTGAAAAGTATAATGTATAATTTGTCAGTCACACATGAGCTCTTGGAAATAAAACAGTCCAGTTGTTAAGTGGTAAGAGGTTATTCCAATTGCAGTTCCAAGGTTGCTGAATTGAATTGATTTTCTGTGCAGATGTGCTACGAGATCATGGTGGTAAGAATCTATTATGATCCTTCTCTCAAATCACCAGTCAGAAAGATGTTGTGGGCAAATGTCTCCTATAGAAAAGTTTCTCTGAAAAGCTACAATATATGAATAGATTTGATTTTAAATTAGTAGACTGGTGTCACAAGGACATCATAAATTACAAAAACTGCACAATTTGTGACTACTGTATTTTCTCCCTGGACACAAAGACGGTTAAATTCACATGTAAAGAAAAAAGTAGAATTAAGATTTTCTGCAACAAAAAAGAATGTGAATTGTGCAGTATTATCTGTATTTGACTTTCAGTATTCGGAGGTTCATGTAGACTTTAGATCTGCGCGTTCTTTCATAGGAATAGTTTTATTTGTTATCAGTGGAGCAGTCTGTGACTTAACCCATTGTGCTTTGAAATACTTGGAGTGCTTGTCCATCAGCTTGTACCAAAAACATGGCTGCATATTCCATCTTTTCTTTCCTCTGGGGATTCTACGTTTTTCTCAAAGGTACATCACAACTGTGATGATTTTAAGTTTAAGATTTCAAGTGAAGACCTTTTCTGTTTGTATAGAGAAGTTTCCCATTTTAATTTAACCTATGGGTTTATATTGTAGTTGTACGTTAACTGCTCACTTCACAAGCACTATATTCAGTATTTGTAGTAGCTTACATTGAGACAAATTGGGTTATATAACTGTTACAAAGATTCCATGCTCTTAATCTGTCTCTCCTCAGCTACCCAGAGAATGGTGTGGTGGAAATGCGACCGGTGGATGTGCGACCACGTGCCAGGACACTGCTGCGGTGGGACCAGCTTGAGGTGGGCATGCATGTGATGGTCAACTACAACATGGAGACACCAGATGAAAGGGGCTTCTGGTTCGACGCAGAGATTGTGTCCCTCAAGCAAACCTCCCGCACTAATAAAGAGCTCAGAGTCAATATCCTCCTCGGGTGAGCATCTTCCTTCAAGGTTTCAGGGTGATGCTTTCAGGTGTGAAGGCATTAGTGCTAGTTTTATTTTCTTTATCAGAATATCAGTTTGGCAAATCTTGTGTTTTTCTCTCTCTCTCTCTCTCTCTCTCTCTTTTTTTTCCCTTTCCATGTCACATGCTCTCCATTTAGGGGTCCTGGAGATGTGATTGGGGATTGTAAAATTCACTTTCTGGATGAAATCTACCAAGTGGAGAAACCAGGAGCTCGTGCACTATCGGCTGCAGACGGACAGTTTAAACGTATGAACAAGCTCAATCCTGAGCACTGAAAATAATACCAAACTTGCCGTTAATAGTTTGCGCACCAGTAGTCAGAAGGCATACATTTGTTCCCAAAGTTAACAAATTAAAAAAAGCTGAGGAATTAGTTAGAAAAAAGAAGAAATAAAAACATTTTCTATAGTGGGTCTTTATTCTTAGTCAACATGTTTTGTTTTTTTTCCTCACAATATGAAAAATGTTTGTAGAGCCACTGTATCACTAACAGTTATTAGTGTCAGTCAGAAGAAAAAAAGGAAGACTGATGTTAAATTATTGTTATTTTGCTAAAAAGCCTGAAAACCAACCAAGTTGTCAGCCACTGTTAGTTTCCTCAGGTCTAGAGATTGCCTAGCAACCACCAGTCACCATGGAAGAGTATCCCCCAACTGGTTGCAAGTGGTTGTTAGGTGAAATCGGTCACAAAGAAGATTACAGTATGTCAATGAAAACATCTTTGCCATCGCTTTGATTGCTAGCAGTTTGCCTCGGTTGCCTGTAATTTGTCTGGAACGCGCCAACTTGTCTGCAGACATTTGCCAACTACTCTGTAAGCAGTAGTGAAACTTTGAAGAGTGCAACACAGCTCAAAGTAAAAGTTGTGCCTTTTAGAACTCGGTTTCAGTGGTAATGAGCCATTTTTTACCTTGAAAGGGAACATTCTGTGTTCCTGTTTTGTTGCACTTTTTTTTTTCAGGTTTCACGCACAGTGGTCAGTTAGCAAGTGTTTGCAGACAGCCTCTGTGCAGAAGCCTCTTTGTGACCGATTTCACCCACCGACAATTAGTAAACTCTTACCAGCCAGCCAAGGAATACATACATATTTTTCGACCAGAGGTTGCCAGGTGGTTGCTGACTGTGTGATTGATGCCCAACTCGTCTTATAACAGTGCAGCGCATCCTTCTTGTTTTCAGTCTGCTTCAATAGCACAGTTGGCATAAAAAAAAAACGTCCCAGAAAACAAATTCTCGTTTGGGAAATGAGCAGATATCAAGCTGAAACACTAATAGCTGTTATTCAAAATAAATGAATGTATTATTGATTTGAACATGTGACAAATACACATTATAGATAGGTTACTTGAACAAAATGAAGTCTGACAACTTAAGACTGAAGAGTAAATTATGTCTGTGTGTGGATTGACCTAGCATTTGTAATATTAAATAAAAACAGTTGGGAATAAGTTGCCCTAATAACCATAATGCAGAAAATCATGTGTCTCATGCTTAACATGTCCCCTTGCAGTGCTCCTACAAAACCTACGCCTGCCAATCCTTTGTCGTTATGTAGTGCAGGAATACCATGATATTATCATTCTGTTCATACATGTGTTTGCATTTATGAATGCTGCAGGAAAGAGTGGTCCGGAGTGTAAGCACTGCAAGGCCGACCCTGACGCAGAGTGCCGTTTCTGCTCCTGCTGCGTGTGCGGGGGGAAGCAGGACGCTCACATGCAGCTGCTGTGTGATGAGTGCAACATGGCGTTCCACATCTACTGCCTCAACCCACCGCTGGCCACCATCCCAGATGACGAGGACTGGTGAGAGAGAGCGCCACTCGACATTTTGCTGCGAGATTTTGAGCCTCGCAGTCATTTAACCAGGAAAAAAGGCTGATGAGTGCTGTTTAAATGTGGGCTGAAATGTATTAGTGTAGTAATTAAGCGGTGATTGAGGGTAAAATCAATATATAGTAATGAAACCATGCGCTCACAGGTGGGAGTTAATCTAATCTTTGAAAGACTTTCTGCCAAACAGATCTCCACGCCTTCTTGGCATCATTTTCTAAAACGGCGCAAAGCTTCATTATCTTGCGTTCTGGGTTCTGTCTGTTTCTCCCACAGTATTGCAACGAAGTCAGAGAGATTATTGGAAAAACAGTTCAGGTACTGATTGTATCTGGTGCGGAGAGAAGATAATACTAATGGCTTTGAAAATAAACATTTTTAATTTTTTGTCAGTGTGGGAATTTAGAAAAAAGCTTAAGAAAGATTAAATCATGGAAATTCTTAATAATTAAGGTTTACAAAGAGCTCGGGTAAGGCATGCTTTGAGAACAGCTTGGCCTGCTTTTCTGTTGTTCTTTGTATAAGTAAACGACAATAAAACAAGACCCCTTCATCTATCGTTTTTAACTTTTTGATGCATTTTCGTAACGTCCACAAAAATTTCATTCTTTTATGTTATGTTTCCTAAACCTAAAAAAACTTGTAGCTCAGGGATGTCAAACGCATTTTACATTATGGGCCACATACAGTTCACTTGGATGTTTGTAGGTCAGATCAGTGATTAGATCAGATCCCTGAGATACCACAATATAAGAAAGAAAAGTGCAATTTCAACAATATATCTGTTTTTATACATGATAAAGAAATGCTGCTTTAGTTAATGAAAGAAATGTGCTTAAATTGTAAGAAATAAAATATGTAAATAATTTTATAACTGGAAAAAGATCTGGTAACCATTGCTTATTGACCGTCCTGTAGTTATGAAACATGAACTTTGTGTTAAATAACAGAAAATGTCCCCTTTTTTGTGTGTGTGGACCCATTGTTTAAAAACAAAACAAAAAAATCAGAATTTTTTTCATTATTAGCACATTTTTTTAATTTTACATGACTGTCAAATTCTCTTCATATAATTCAGGGCTCTCTCTCTCATTTTAGATCCCGGGGAGCATAAAGGCTAATTTGATCTTAAATTGGCTGGGCCACTAAATCTATGGGATTAAAGTCCTAAAAAAAACCACCCCAATATTGTTGCTTTTTCTTTTAGTGTAAAACTGTTCAAGGAAATTTTGTTCGCATATCACGAACTACTTATGTCTGCTTTTTCTTCTTCTCTACATTACAAAGCAGTGCTGCTGTTGTAAATCAAAGAAACCCATTAGTACTGCTTCTTGGGCTCACACTTTGAGAAATTAAGTGCTGGCAGCTCATTATCCAGACATTTTCTTATAATTAGAAAACAGAAATTATGTTGTTTTTATTTTTTCTGTAGGAGGAAGAAATACTAACAGTACATTTAAAAAAAAAACACCTTGTTTTAAGTCAGATAATCAGCCAGTAGTAGCTATTTGTGGATATATTGGTATTAATATTTACAGCAGCTGATCAATTATAATTTTATAAGTAAAGAAGAGGCGGGGCAGATATTCTTTAACTGTGTTGTAAGTGTTGATGATGCATACTTTCCTCATCAGAGGGCACAGTTTCCATGTCGGCAACACTTGTTGAAGCTGATCAAAGCAGAGTTAGGCAGAACGTGAATGTGTAAGCCACGCATATATCATAAAATAATATCAATGACAAATGTTATGAAAATCAAATTAAGTTTTGCGTGTCTGAAAGACAAAAATATTGGCGGATATATCACAATTTTAAAATCCCCAAATATTGGTGTTGCTATCAGTCTTAAAAATCCCATATATGTTAAGTTGTAACATTGTTGCTGCAGTTTTTTGATTTTACAAAGCCAGCCAATGGCCAGAGTAGAGGCATTTGTAGGCTGGCCTAAAATTTTAGGAAGCACTGACGGAAATTGTTTCCTTCTTATTTTGCCAGGTACTGTCCAACCTGTAAGAATGACACCAGTGAGGTTGTCAAGGCAGGCGAGAAGCTTAAAGCCAGCAAGAAGAAAGCCAAAATGCCTTCTGCAACCACCGAGAGTCAAAGAGACTGGGGAAAGGTGAGACCCAAGGGCACCCTAAAGCACACATACAGCAAAGGTGGACTGACAGCTGATCTGTAAGAATGAAAGTGAATTTCAATAGAAAGCTGGAGGGAAGAGTTCGTATTGTCCTGAAGAAGCAAAGGCCATGTAGACAAATACAAATAAAACAATAACAAAGCAGGGGTTTTTTTTTCTCGAAGGGCTTTTCTCTGTTTTATTATCAAAACACTAAAAAGTGCTTCACTCCATCATATTGGCTATGAGAGACAGAAGAGGCGTTTTACATCTCAAAACCTGAATAACCAGATCACTGAAGGAACTAACGGTGAACATTTATACTTCCAGTGTAGTACATTTTATAATGGAGACAGTATATTTACATAGAAATGTTCATAATGTTTTAACATGACTTACTTTACTTTAATGTTTGTTTCCTTACAGTTCATTTCTGTTGTGAGTTTGATAGTTTGTTTAGTCTTTGAAGTCTGAAAAAAAATTAGTTTTAGTTTAGTAGCTTCGGTGTTAGCTTAAATTTTTTATTCATTATTATAATAGCTGTGATCTTTGTCATAAGTGAGATAGAAGAAATTAACAAAGCAAAACACTTTAGAAACTCTGAGTTTCTGTAAGCATGGTAAATGGCCTGTATTTGTATAGCGCTTTTCTAGTCCCTAAGGACCCCAAAGCGCTTTACACAACCTGTCATCCACCCATTCACACACACATTCACACACTGGTGATGGCAAGCTACAATGTAGCCACAGCCACCCTGGGGCGCACTGACAGAGGCGAGGCTGCCGGACACTGGTGCCACCGGGCCCTCTGACCACCACCAGTAGGCAACGGGTGAAGTGTCTTGCCCAAGGACACAACGACCGAGACTGTCCAAGCCGGGGTTCGAACCGGCAACCTTCCGATTACAAGGCGAACTCCCAACTCTTGAGCCACGATCGCCCCACATGTGCATGAAAGTCTCACCAGACAGGCCATGAGGTCTGCGGCGCTCCAGACTAAAATTAAATATATTTACAGTATAGTTTTATGTTGTTTTACGTAGTTTTGTGCAGTAGCTTTCACGTTTTTAAGGTGAAGGTTTTATTTTTGTTTTAGTGAGACACAATTGTTTTTTTCTTCACACCGTTTCAGTTTACTCAATGACCTTACGACAAACTGCTATAAGAAGAAAGCTAAGGCCATGCAAGCAAACATTGTTGTATTTCATTCACTTTATCCAAGCTGCCTTTTCTTCAGTTTACTTTTTACATGTTTGCTGTCAGTTATTGTCTGTTGTGTATGTTGCATTATGTTTGATCAGAGACAAAGTAGCTTGTTTCAAATTAAGTTTTCACGTAACAGACATACTCCATTTATAAGGTTTTATTGAACGTCTCATACATGTGGCTCCATAGTGTTGTGGTTAACACAATCACCTTGCACACCAAAGATTCCTGGTTTGAGACACACACATAGCCTCAGTGGGGCTCACGAGCTAGCTTACACAGTGCTGTTCCTACGCCCGGATAAATGGAAGCATTTCATCGGGAAGAACATCCGGTGTAAAACCTGTGCCAAATCAAACATGCAGATCCATCTGCTGGGGGAGACCCCTTGGGATAAAAGGGAGCAGCCAAAAGTAGCCTTTTAATAAGCAGTAGATATAATGTATTATAAGTTAAGCATTTGTTAAGCTTTATGCCGCCATCCCAAAGTGACTTTATAAATTCAGTCTTTCAGTCACAATATACTGATTTTGTCTCTAATATTGAATTTAAAATTTATTGTCATGTCAAAAACAGGCAGATGATAATACTGTAAATGGCCAAGCGGTCTAAACAGACATGATTGGTTTCACTTGAAAGTTTATCACAGCTTTTTCACTATTAGCAACAACTACACTGCAGCGTGGTTACACACTTTACAGCTGAGAAAATAAAGGTTACTGCTGCTAAAGGCATTCATTTTTATGCTACTGTGGTTACTCCTCTCGTACACCAAAAGACTCGCATTCCACACCAAACCCGCTGAGTTGGGGTGAGTCACTGATGCAACAATAGTCACACTCTTCAAAGATGGGGACCGGGTCTGCCACCACTCATGGACGGTCAGCTACCGTCTTCAAAGCAACTTCGGTGCGAAGCAGCAATGAAACGACAATAACATGGTGTCAGGCAATTTTGAATGGGGTTAAATTGCACGCAATCTGTTTGTGGTAATGTGATTAGTAACTGAGAGAAACTGGTGAAAATTTCAAGTCTGTTACTGTCAACATACACAGAACTGTGCATTAAGCAGAAATTCACATTCATTATTTACAATCTGAGACTCTCTCAGACTGTGTGTTGGCAGTCTGTCTTTGTGTAGAAATGACAATTACTTGTAAACCTTCGCAGATCTGTGTGAGAGTGATTTTAGTCAATCCAACAGAATAGAAATTCAATCCAATCACAGAGCAGTCACTGACTTTTTAGTAGTGGCAAGGAGGTCTTATTTCTACTCTGGTGTGACGGAGCACAGGTGCAGATACGCTGTGGTTACCTTACAGATGGCGAACTGTTGAACGTTTAATCCTCAATCCTAATCAACGATCTGTTTGTTTTTTGCCGCTGCTCCTCCACACTCTGTGATTTACCGGCGCTCTGAGCTAACGCTAGCTGTTGTTTGGCTGGTCTGATGAGTCACTGCAGTTTGGTGCACTGCATATATCAGCGACATTTGTTCATGTTTTTGTCTTTTTTTTTAAATATTTGCCTATTAGTCAGTTGTTATTAGTCAATTATTAGTATTTTTAGATGCCTTAATGTCCTGGTTTATAATGCCACTTTGTCAAAGGTGTTGATTCACAAAACACTTCAATAAATAAAGTGAAGGATCTTTTTTTTTTTTTTACAATATGGCCAATTGAGTTGTATATAGTCAACTTGCACATTAGTATATATGCACAAATTTGGCTTCATAGTCAGAAAATAATAATCTGCTTTACTATATTTTTGCTTATGCAACCAGAACTACATATATAATATCTAAAATATATTAATTTATCATATGTCAGCTAAAACTAGCATTTTGATTAAAAGGTTTACACATCCTGGTGCATTAACCATTACAGAAACATTAAAAAGATTTTTTTTTTGGTAATTACCAGTTGGCCTACTGTTAAATTTAGGGCAGCTGTGGCACAAACCTTACACTATGGGAAGGTCTAATAAATTTGTTAAGTGCTGTGGATATATAAATATGTATGAGTAGAATATGTAATTATATATTCTGAGCAGCGGTTGGTAGCTGCGGCTCAAGTGAAGGACAAAAAGTTAGCAGTGATGCTCTGTGCTATAGATTTATTTTCCAAATCACACCGCTTTGCTTCACAATTTAATCTAAAACAACAGAAAAAAAATGGCACCATTGTGTAAATGAGAGGTCAAAAAAAAAGTGAATGAAGTGTCAGACATCATTTTCTCATCACAGGCTAGACGATCGCCTATTGATGTGTTATTGATTATGAAGGGTTTTGATTATTATGAGTGTGAACTTGCTCCATTCACTTTTTCAAGGCGTTAGTTAGAAGGTCGCATTTAAACTTCCTACTTGGCAAAGCAACAACTGCATCCTTGTATCTGCTGAAACAGAAAATGAGACAGGGAGACTTCTCCCGCTCACTTAGTTGCTTAATTAATTTGAATCTGATCTAAGCATGCTGTTAAATATTTTCCTCAAAATCCCTTCAGATTCTTCTCATGGCCTGTTTCCATCCTGGCCTTGCTGTCTCTCTGACGCTCTGCTCTGCGGTGTGTGTAATGTGAACAATGCCATTAAGCATGACTTAGCCACTTTCCTGGAACTGCCAGTGGAAAATAACTCCTTTCTTTACCAGAATGCTCCCTTTCTCGGTGGACTAATTGAAAACAGCCTGGCTTGTGTGTTTGGGCACATTTATGCGCCCTGAGTCATGCAGCATTTATACTTGACTTTTCTTATTAACACGATTTTAGAACCCTTAAAATAAAACGCTTTTCCTCGCAAAAGCTGTCTTGCATTCTGACTTTCAAGAACCGTATATGCCACCTAAATGAGATGCTGATCGCTGTTAAAATATAACTGCTGATTAAGCTACTGTACATTTGATATTTGCATGACCGCTGTGCTAAACGAATGCAATACAAAGGCATTTGTGCTCATTTTGGTATTTTTTTGTGCACATCTTTGTTCTTTCTTCATATAATTGCAGGGTATGGCCTGTGTGGGGCGTACTAAAGAATGCACTATTGTTCCTTCAAACCACTATGGACCCATTCCTGGTGTTCCTGTTGGTACCACTTGGAAGTTTAGAGTTCAGGTTAGCTGGCGTTATTGTTTTTTTAACATTGCATGATAATCAGATATATTTTGAACATTTAAAGAAAATCATGCCTCACTCTGCACTTCTGTTTCTCCTTCCGTGTATCCCCCTCAGGTGAGCGAGGCAGGGGTTCACAGGCCACATGTCGGCGGCATCCACGGGCGCAGTAACGATGGCTCCTATTCGCTGGTGCTGGCTGGAGGCTTTGAAGATGAAGTGGTGGGTCCTATAATGTTTCTCTCCCCGTGCTAGTTTATTGTGAATCTTGCACGTTTGCCTGCTGTTCGTGATGTTATGGTCACTGTGATCTGTGGTAGGACCGGGGAGACGAGTTCACCTACACGGGCAGCGGGGGTCGTGACCTCTCAGGAAACAAACGGATCGGAGAGCACTCTTTTGACCAGACGCTGACTCACATGAACAGGTGGGGCACTTGGTTGTTTCTGAGGTCCATGCTTCTTAATATGAAAGCTGCCTCGCTTCAGGTTTATTTGCTTTAATCTCTTGATTTAAATAACAACATGAAGTATAGCCTTCACATTCATTGTCTCGATTTGTAATTAGTAAATAAATCCTTATTTCTGTACTGAAATAAGGATTTCTCAACCATTAAGCCATCATTTCTTGTAATCCTCACATGTAATAAAGATAATTCTGTTTTGCCCGACCCCTTCAGGGCACTGGCCTTAAACTGCGATGCACCTCTGAATGACAAAGACGGAGCAGAGTCCAGGAACTGGCGAGCAGGAAAACCTGTACGAGTGGTCCGCAGCTCCAAAGGTCGCCGCATTAGCAAGTATGCTCCCGAAGAAGGAAACCGCTACGATGGCATTTACAAGGTATCGCCAAATCTTGTCCACCAGAAATACATCTGCTTACTGCAAGCAGCACTGCATAAAATAGTGTCGATATAGAGTGCAGGTTGTGTACAAACTTACAGAATGATTGAAGTTTTAAAAGCTGCCTTTCAAGCTATATGGGATCCTATTACAGCCGTGTTTCTATAACTAACACTGCGCTTCTAAATCTTCATCTTCTTCTGTCTTAGAAACCGTTTGTCACCAGTCTTAAGTCAGAGCTGCTTCAAAACTTCAGTTCACTTTTTTTTTGAATGAAATTTGCTGTGGTTGATGGCGGCTCGTAGGTGGTAAAGTACTGGCCAGAGATCGGGAAGTGTGGTTACTTGGTGTGGAGGTACCTGCTGAGACGAGATGATCAGGAGCCAGCGCCTTGGACCCCTGAAGGTGTGGAGAGGATCAAGAAACTGGGCCTTGCTGTTCAGGTTAGATATGTGTCTTAAATCAGGCACGTGTGCCTTTGTTGGTGCACTTCATTTCTACTTTTCAAAATTAGGTTCAATCTTCTTTGTCTCTCCTTGTGCGTCTGCAGTACCCCCCAGGCTACTTGGCAGCCATGGCCAACAAATCAAAGAAGGAGGCTTGTGCTCGACCCGGTCGGGGCGGCCGCAGTAAGCACTATCCCGGGAGGGGGCGGCCACGGAGGCAACGCAAGATTAAGGAGAAAGAGGAGAACGATGACAAGGAGGAGGAGGACGAGCATCCAGTGGCCAATGTGGAAGAGGAGTCTCCACAAAGTAATGGAGTGCAGAAGACAACAAGAGATAGTGGTGGGTGCTTTTAGAAGCTCAAAGCAGGTCAGACAAGGTATTGTGAGACGAGGACAGGTGAGACCAGTGTGATCACTGAAACTGTTTTGAAGATGGGAAATGAATATTGAAAAGCACAAACTCCACTAGGATTTTTTTTTTTACCTAGCCATACACCACTGTAAATATATATATTTTTTTTTAGTCTCCGAGGATAGATCATTCTGTTTCTGAAGTCTTAGTTTGTTTTCTCAGCAGAGTCAAAACCGGTGGAAGAGCCTCCTTCTAAACGGGTGAAGATAGAGGAAACCTTCCAGCTGTCAGAGCAGCAGCAGCAGTTGATCCAAGAGGACACAGCCAACAAGAAACTCTGGGATGAAGCCATGGAGCACCTTAAAGAGGGACCGGTATAAAATTTAGTATACCACAATACACATCTCTGGTTTATGTTTATAAAAAATGTTAAGTATCTCACAGCAACTCGCTCCATGTGCTCTAAATAATAAATCTTCTCGATGTAAGAAGATTTACTGACTGAGATTTACAGCCTGTCTGTTGCTGTTGCTTTAAAAGTAAAGCAGGTTAAAAAGGCAGCAACATCGCCATAATTCAAAATTGCTACAACTTTAGTGTGTTTGTTTCTTTCCCACCTTCATTCCTTTGACGTTTCTTTTTGAAGAATTTCCTTCGCAAGATGGAGCAGATCTTCATGTGTGTGTGCTGCCAGGAGTTGGCCTTCCAGCCCATCACCACCGTCTGCTCACACAATGTTTGCAAGGTATAGGATTTGTTTTCTAACTATTATGTGGACATGCTGCGGTTATTGTTTGTTGATTATTATTTCATTTTGACTTTTTGTTTCACTAGGTTTCCACATTAGGTGTGCTTGTTTCAGTTTAGCTTTTTATTGTTTGAAATGTTTAGTTTGTTTAAGTCTCAGTGTTTTAATCTTTTTAAGTATTATGCCAGAGGGAATGATTTTTAGCAAGTACGTCAGTACAGGTATAAACATGTTGATCAAAGCTTCATCGGACTTCAAGTATTAAACAAATACTTAAAATAAGAAAATGTTACCTGTATTTTATATTGTATATTTTAGTTTTTTGTCCACATTCACAAAATCACATATTACTTTTAATATTTTTCAACAATCTAGTTTATTACTTTATTATTTTTGTTAAAAATGTTTGGTTTTTTTCACATTTTGTTTCAGTTTTTTGTTTGTGATGCCCATTATATGGTGTTTTAGGGTGTGTGAAAGCAAAAAAAAAGTTAGTTTTAGCCTGTTGTTAGGTGGTTGCCAGGCAACTTGACAGCATAATATGTCACGCACAATTGAAGTCTTGCGAATATAAATTAGATTTTATTTTTGAGAAATAAAAATGTTTGATGCAGTGTTATAGGTGCATAATTTTAAAAAACAGTTTATTTAAGCCTGTTGCTCTGTGGTTGCTTGGCAACATGATCACATCAGAATATATGATGAGGATGAGAACCTTCAGGGGCTCAGGTGTACATGTGTACTAAGTTTGCTTAGTCAGGTCCTGATTGTGTAGGGGGAGAACAAACACAGTCTTCATGTATTACAGTAACGTTCACCCTTCTCTTCACAGACCTGTCTCCAACGGTCGTTTCGGGCAAAGGTGTACACCTGCCCCGCCTGCCGCCACGACTTGGGCAAGGACTACGTTATGACCCAAAACAAGACGCTTCAGATGCTGCTTGACCAGTTCTTTCCCGGCTACAGCAAGGGCCGATGAGGTCGAAATCACGTTTATAAGTAGGATACACGCACATAAGCACCCATTCTGTGCACCCTCGTATACTGTCAAGTACCTAGAGCTCCACTTTAAAATGCATTGCACACTCATAATGTACTTACCCACGGGCTAATGTATATTGCATATACAGCCATTTATGTATACAATCATTCATACACAAACAACCTCAGTAGGGACTGACCTCATCTGTTGAACTTGGACTGTCTCCATCAGCATCACCAGCCTGAAAAATCAACCGAGGACATTTTTTAAAACTTCCTGCCACACGAACGCACACGAAAACCAATGCACAAAAAAAAAAAAAAAAAGAGTCCCCAAACTCACGCTCACACTAGCCATCTCAACAGTTTTTCCCTTTCCACCGTGTTGTCCACCGGTTCAATTAATTGCGCTATGCCGTCAGAGTGCAAATTCTCCCCCGGCAACATCACAAGCTCAGCAGTTAAGAGTTTAGTTTCCTGCCACCCTGTTTGCATTTTGTGTACCATGCATGCAGCTTTACACCAAAGCACTGAGCCAATCGGAGCCGTTTCTGAGCTGGCTAATAAAAAGTGGCCGGTGCTAGGAGGCGGCGGAGGTGAGTAGGTCGTTTGACTGAGAGGGTGCCAACAGAGTTGATCTGTTGTTAACGTGCATTTATAATGAAGCACACTATGTCTTATTCCCATGAAGCACTTTATTACCGACATGTGGAGCAGGCTTGTTTTGTAGGTTAATCAGGAGCAAGTGCTAACATCCTGCTCCTCATGTCACTTGGAATAATGCCATTGCTTTGCCTTGAGCTAACGGGAATAGCAGATGTCTCACCAGGGGTAACTTTCCTTGTATTGGCAGGGAACACAAATTGGCAACTGCATCCAGTTTGTTTAGAGTGCTGGAAAATTTCTGGTTCCAACAAAGCTGCAAATTTTACATACTGATGAGACGCACCAGTGAGTCCCCTCTTTACGTTTTACGTGGAGTCAGAAAAGCCATTTGCTTTAATAAAGACACAAGGCCACAGGGCCGATTATGGGCAAGGATTGCAGGAGTCTGCTTTTAAAAAGTAACCTCGGCTGGTGATTTGTGCCTGAACACGAGATAGAACAAACGCACTGTTGAAACTTCTTCAGAAGCACCAAAAAGTCCAGCAGTGTCAGAAATGTGTTAAACGTCACACACGGAGGATTATAAATATAGTTCTGGTTCACGGTTGTACTTATTAAGTCAGATGACATCGACAAAACTGTCCTGGTATGTCAGGTCCATATGTTCTGGTGTTTTTCAACGAATGCTTTGATGTTACAGGAATAAAAGACTGAAGAGTTTTTAGATGCACTTCTGTTTCAGTGACTGGTGTCCCTGTACTCAAGAAGGCCTTCACATAAAGCTGGCTGGTCTTTATTGTTCATCTGCTGCTGTTCTACCTGTTAGTTAATGGTCGGTGGAGAGCTCTGGAGGTGTCCAGCATGATGTTATTCTCCTCTATTTTGGAAAACTACTTTTTTAAAATGCTTTTTTTAAATAAAAAAAAAAGATTTTTTTTTTTTTTTTATATATATTTAGCGACCCATCCCTGATGTTAAACTAGACTACTAAAAGCACTTGGAGTGCACTGCATAAATCATTAGCTTCTTTGAGTTTGAGACACTATAACAATACCTAGTCCAGGATACTACTGACACTCAAAAATATTCTTACTTATAAGTTGTTTTGGTTTTTTTCTTTCTTTCAATGTTTGACCATAAATCACATTAATCCCCAATTGTTATTGAACTTCTTGTTCTTTATTTGTATGTTTGGCTGCATAGTAACACGTGGTAACAGTCCTGTCATCACCTGTTGGACCCAAACACAGCACATCCTCACCCCCATGTTCACTTACCTTGTGTTATTTTTTTCTGCTGTTGCCTTTCATCAGATATTTTGTTGACATTGAATTCAGAAGCCTCTGTGCCCTCTGACAGTATCATACTTTAAAAAGGTGTTGCTTTAATTGTGAGCGCGGGAGGCAGATTCGCACCTCTTTCCAGTGCTGATATGGTACTTTAAAATGTCCAGGGTTGGCAGGTCTGATAGCAGCTTTAACAAACGCCTCACGGAGAGCAGCAGCGGCGCAGTCTCGGACAGAGGTCACCTGGAGCGCTGACGTTCGGTTCGTGCATCCGAGTCGGCTTTGTGGGAAAAATGTAGCCCTTAAGGTGCAAAGGCCTTCGAGGCACAGACGTGTTTTGCGTAAAGCTGAGACGAGGGCAGCCTCAGCTTTTTTCTTTTTTTAAAACTCTGCTGACATTCAGATCAGAGGTGAACGCTGTCTTCTTGTCTGACCCCTCCCCCTCGAACCCCCCCTTCATTGGCAGGCTGTTTGTATGTGGTGATGTCCTTGTTTCTGCTCAATCATTCAGGATTTTCTTTTTTTGTTGGGTTTTTTTTGGTTTATTTTTTTTCTCTTTTTTATTAACATGCAAGTACAGATGCTACTATGGTCTTTAAAGCTAACTGTGATGTGCATTACTTCCACTGTTGCTTAATATTGTTCAGATTTATTTCTTCTTGCATTGACTGGCAAGCTGATACCCCTCCTTTCTTTCTCTGCCGTGACCTTTGCTTCCTCCTCCTCTCACTCCACTGTCTCCTGCCCTCCGTGAACCTACAGTACTAACAACTTTTAGACGTCTTGTGGACGCTTGGCTTCAGTGCTGTGTTTTTTTTTGTTTCGTTTCTTTATTGCACTCTATTGAAGAGAAAAAAAGTTTAAGAAGTCACATTTGATTTTCCTAGAATGCTTACTATTATCTGTGTCTGCACACCTTTTTTTTTTTTTTTACTCAGCCATTTTAGTTGCTTCTGTTTTAATCATTAGTCATTTTTTTTATGTTGGCGACTTCAAACATTTGCAGCAAACGCCAGTCTGAGGAGTTTTATTGCTTCATATTGTGATCTGAAATTTTATACATGTCATGATATTACTTGATATGTACCTATTAAATATTTGGATTCAAGAAAGCAATGCTTTGTAATAGTTTTTTGTATTAACGAGGTAGGATAAACACAGTGTAAACTTCATCCTATTCTTCTTCAAGCTCTGCTTTTTACTACTTATAATGTATTTTGTTATTATAGTTAGATTTATATATTCAAAATAAAACAGTCAGTAAATCCATCTGACTGTTTTGCAGGTAACACAAATATCCAATCAGTCTCCTTGTTGAGGTCAGAGGAAAATGGCCAGATTGCTTTGAGCTGAAGGCTCGAAGCTCAACAGTAACTCAAATAATTAGTCATTACAACCAAGGTAAGGAGACCAGCATCTCTGAATGCATGTCAAACCTTGAAGCAGATGAGCTACAGCAGCAGAAAAGTCACAGCAGGTGCCGTTCCTGTCAGGTAAGAACAGGAAACTGAGGGTACAGTTCACACATGCTCACCAAAATTGGAAAAATGTTGCAGGTCTGATGATTTTCTATCTCTGCTGCCACAGACAGTAGGGTCAGAAATTTTCAGTAACTAAATAAAAGTATGGATCTGTTCTGCTTTTGTGTAAACAGTTCAGGCTGGTGGTGATGATGTAATGAATTGGGGGATATTTTCTCAGCTTTGGGCCCCTTAGTATCAGCTCGATTCAGTTCAGTTTTGTTTTTATAACACCAAATCATAACAACAGTCGTCTCAAGGTGCTTTCTAGTATAAGGCAGAATCTCTATAATAATACAGAGAAAACTCCAAGAATCAGATGAACTCCTTTGAACAAGCACTTGGTGACAGCGGGAAAGAAAAACTCCCTTTTAACAGTCAAAGGGAGTCCATTTCAGTACATAATAAAGTGGCAAGTGAGTGTAAATCCCATGACACTCTATAGATGTCTTGACAACCGAATGTATTTAATTATTTAACAATGTAGGGCACCAATAGAGGAAATTACTGGTTTCCTGTCAAATTGAAGATTATACTAGAGTTCAAAAGCTCTAATACAGATAAGACTTGAAATTTCACTACAGCATTTCATACTTGATACAATTCCAATTAATGCAAGCTACCCTTAGGAAGACTGGCCATCTGAATATTAGCACCTACTCCCATTTGAGCCATTTTTGCCACATTTCAGGGGTTAAAATGTAGTTTAGTCATTTCTGATTTTAGAAATGTTTGCTGTGATCACTTAATGGGTCTTCATCAAAATTGTGCTTGTCAGTTTATGGGCAATAATCTGTAAATTGGGATTGATTGTCAGCTGGATGAGGTACTATGTCACCTGGTTATTTTTTTTCTTTCTTTCTTCCAGAATAAAATCTGAAAAGGCAGTCTTCTCTTTGCCATATTGAAAAGGAATTATGTAACTTAAATCAACACTTTATCACCATTTTCTACTGTTAACAAGAAACAGGAAAAAGAGATGATTTAAGCTTTGTCTATAAATTTTTAGCACTAAATCTTTAAGTTTGCCTTTAAGTGATGGTTTGGTCCAGATCTGAGCCAGGGCATCACTGAGCTCCTGGACAGTCTAGAGGTGCAGCCTGGTGCGTCAGGTGGACTAAAACATAACCTCCCAGATGGGTTCTGTTGGGTTTAGGTCAGGTGAGTGTGGGGGCCAGTCAATGGTATCTGTTCTTTTATCCTCTGGGAACTGCCTGCATAATCTCACCACATGAGAGCGGTCATTGTCGTGCATCAGGAGGAACCCAGGACACAATGCACTGGCAGGGACTGGCAGTGGGTAACGTTAACGTTTTCCACAACTTCTGCAGACACGTTCACACTTATCACATGTGCTCAGGGTGAACCTGCACTCATCAGTGAAAAGCACATGGCACCAGTGATGGAACTGCCAATTCTGGTATTCTATGGCAAATCCCAATCAGACTCCGCGGTGCCGGGCAGTGAGCACAGGGCCCACTAGAGGACATCGTGAAGTCTGTTTCACACCAGTTGTGTGCTGGAGGTCATTTTATGGGGCTCTGGCTTTGCTTGTCCTGTTGTTCCTTGGATAAAGGGGCAGATAGCAGTACTGCTGATGGGTTCAGGGCCTTCTACAGCCCCATCTAGCTCTTTTAGAGTAACTGGCTGATTCCTGGAATCTGCTCCATGATCTTGAGACTGTGCTGGGAGACAGCAAACCTTCTGCCAATCTGCACATGTTATTGTGCCATCCTGGAGGAGTGCGACTATGTGCAACATCTGTAGGGTCCTGGTATCACCTCATGCCACCAGTAGTGATACTGACCCTAGTCAAATGCAAAATATGTGGGGGAAAAAACAAAAGGTGAAGAGTGTGAGTAGCTTCCACCTTTAAAATGATTCCTGTTTTGGAGGTTGTCTCATTGTTAGCCCTTTAGTGCACCTGTTGTTAACTTCATTAACCCTAAAGCGGCTGAATCTGATTAAGAACCAGCAGACCAGATCAATATCCTACAAGTTTAATTGACTTGATGCTGTACTCTGACTAAAACGTTTTAAATTTTTTAGCAGTATATATTTTACAATTTGCCATTTAAAAACAGATTACACCTTTGTAGAAATTTTATTCTATAGTACTGAAAGGATTTGTAAATGCAAACATTTACAAATTCCATTAGTTTGTCTCATTCACGACTAAGGGTCATAAATGACAAGATTTTTTTTTTTATCCATACCTTTTATACATGCATTCAGAAAAACAATGGTAGGCCTGCAGGGTCCTGTTTTTGCACTCCAAGTAGAGTCACACAAATAAAAGAGAATTCAAGTGAAATATCCAACAATAAAATACATTACAGACCACAAACCTGAGATTACAGGTATGATAATGTTAATCAAGAGCAGTGCAATCACCTGTGGGTGTACCATGGGAGTCCATGGCCTTGAAGCTAATTTTAGTAAACCACACACTGTGAACACTTATTAACATGCAAATGGTTCCTCTGCAAGGTAACAGTACAGAGTACACACGTGTGAGTCAACCCAAGTTCATCACACCATCTTACTCAAATGAAGGTGTGACGGAAATAAAGGCGATAAGGACGTAACCTTCAGAAGGGTTTAGCAACTGCACGTCTCACACGTGCAATTGCTAAACTTTAAAATTACTGTTGACTAAGATTAAAACTCAGACGGAAAGTGCATCATTACAGGGTTACAGAAGAAATACACAATTCAGTATAATAATTGTCATAAGAAACTTACGCACATTAAAATCGGATACATAATAGAAACCCAACTTATGAAACGCAAACTACTTGAAGGCCGTTCTACAAAATTGTAAGGAAAACCTGGCTGATCTGTGGAGCCATCTAACGGGCTAAAAATCACCGAGTGCCGTGGAGCCTCCTGGTGGTACAAGTGTATTTCACAGTCTCAATGTCTTCATCGCTGCATATATATTTGTGCGAGCAGCACAAATTGCATTATGATGTAGCCTAGTTTTAACATGACTAGGTCAAACAAAGGTATATGATATTTAAAATGTACAGAAACATTAAAGCATCTCCCACAATCATATTTGGCATAAAAATTACCTACAAAATACAGCTGCTAAAAACTCAAGACACCACAGCTGAATTTAAAAGCATTGGATAAACAAATACAAAGGCCAATGATCAGTTTTGTTGTTTTATTATCACAGAAGCACAACAGGTACCACTATGCAGGTGAACAACAAATTCAATACTATCATGAAAATAAAAGTTAAAAAGGAATGCTTATCTGAGAAAAAGAAAAATCCAAACATTACATCCTTCAAAAACAAACTTTCACAATATTGTCAGATCTACATGGCAGAAAGAAGCAAAAGCACTTTGGATTATTCACTTTCCTTTTTGCGTTTTGTACCAATATGCTCCACAAGATGTTTAACTTGAAACTGAAGCACTTACATCAGACACATGCAGTAGCTTTCATCTTTTTTCGCTCCACTTCTACTTGAAATGGATTCATTATCCAGCTCTAAAGTACCAATTATCAGGAGTGTGGCTTAAAAGTTTCCAAATCCACAATATTACCAGAAGGATATTGGTGCTGCAAAATGAAACTGGTCCTGTTGAAAGGTGTTTTTTTTTTCAAATCAATTCAGAGAGGGGGGGTGGACATAGAGATATGGGGAGAAGTTTAATGTATTTTTTTTTAGCCAATCAAAAGAAAGCTGGAGTACCCGAGTGTAAACCTGATGACTTTTTTTGTTGTACATTCAACAAAAGACTGCTCCAACTCAATTGTGAAAGGAAATAGACTTTAACCTAAAAGCCATGACAACTGCATTAAGTCAAAAAAGAAAATCCCTCCTTTTAAAACGACTAAATGGAAAACACTATGAAAAAACATAAAACAAAAAACCCCCCTCAAAGGATAGATGCTGAAAACAGAAGACACACAGCTTACAATTTATTCCCTTAAACACAAAAAGCATGGGGAGGTAAGTACTTGCATATAGAGCTACAGCCCAGGGTTTAACACAGACGGTATGTGAGTAAGCTGCGACTGAATGGGGGAAACCATACAATAGTAAGGAAAACAAAAGACGTAAGCAGGGGAGGTTGTCCGGCGGGCTACTCCTCGTCTGAGGAGTCCCTGTCAAAGTTGTAGGCCATGAAGAAAACGTCGGGTCGAGGTGGGACGAGGGCATGGCCTGGTTTCACAATCTCAAAGCCCAGGAAACTGAAGGTACGCACCAGTTTAGCTGGAATGAGAAGGTGGACACATTAAAATGATTGAAAATACATAAGTCCAAATTAACATTGTCTTACAGGGTGGACACAGAGTCAAATAGGTGAAGAAAAAGAAAAAACGCTGTTGGCACATACCACGATCATCTCTGTTCTTGTAAAAGCAGACAAACACGCTAACGACTTTCAGATGTTCTTCAGCATACTCCAAGAGAGCTGCGAAACTGCAGGGAGAAAATAGGGCAGCTTAGCTTAGAAAATGGAAAACAAGCCTGCAAGAAGCACGCTCAACCACAATTGACTTTCTCACTGAATCTGGAGCTTATCCTCAGAGGATTAGATGCGTTTTCCTGATTTCTGTATACGCTGTGCTTTTGGTTTCGCCTGCTATGTTTCATGGTCAGCAAAAATGTGATTTTACAACAGATCAAAGTTTAAAGCGTGCAAAGGCGCCAGGGTCCAATCATAATCATAAAATGCACGCACCAATTATTCTAACTTTAATTGCTTGTGACTGCTCATGAGGCACCTCACATCTGCCAACCTGGAGATCTGCAGGTATTTTCTGCATATTGCTGCTAATCAGGCCTCACCTCTCCTTGCTGCCATCAGGAAGAGGGTCCAGAGGTATCTCCACGTAGAGTGCACTGCTGCTTAGGACAGCATCCCACTGTATTGTCTTGGTAACGGTAGGACGACTTTGGAAGTGGAGTATCCCAGGGCGACCGTTCCCTGGCGGTTCCTCCGTTACAGTCAACTTTCGATCCTGGAATTTAGAAACACCACACGTGAAAGCAGCAGTCTGTGACATCACATTATTATATTAACCCCTGAAAACACTGCACAAAGTGGCATTTCTTCCAACTTACTGAGTAGAGCAGTCGAGCTGAAGGAGTGTGATCCCGTGTGCCATTCCCTCGCCCACCTGGGATCTTCAGGGGTGGGAGAGGGGCATCAGGAGCACCACAGAGGCCCCGGGCCGCGGGTACTACTACAGTGCAGGGAAAGGCTGCAGGCAGAGCAGACAAAGAAAATGTAGTCACACAAACTGCACCCTTACTTTGTGAGGGATCTTTCGTGCAAGTACAGGCACATACATGTCACAGGACTGCAGAAAAACACATACTCGGCCTGTGTGTTCAAAGAGGAGCAGAAATTCATTTCCTGGAATTTTTTCTTTTTGAGGATTTTGTGAAGCATTTCACATTGTGCGCTACTGAAAACTACCTGCAGGCTCTTATTCCTACCAATGAATTATAGAGGATGTTTATGGCACACAGCGGAGCCAACAAAACCCCGATGGGTCACGTGCAACTGTTTTGTTTGAGCTGTGAAGCAGCTGCTGTGTCTACATCTTAACACCCTAGGCTACAGATAACCCAAACCACTGTTGCACTGGGCACACTCATCTCAAAGGAAGTTCTTGTTCTTACAGTGTTTGATCACCCTGATATGCTGATTTTTTTTTTTTTTTTTTAAATATTGTGAAGTTTAATTATCTTAAAAACAAACACAAGATTAGAAATTATGCTTACCAAAAAGGTTTTGACAAACTAAACTAGCAAAGGCCACAAACAAACACCAGCAGGTCTGGACTTTTAAATAATTTACAGTTTCAGTTCCCACAACAATGGCACTATGTTTACAAAGCATCTAAAGGAGCCAGCACACCAAAGCAGAAGGATGAGGTGGGAGGCAAACAGCCACAAGCGTTTGCTTTTAAAAGTGCAAACGTGGATTTGTATTCTCAAGCTCCAGTTTGAGTGTGGTTAATTCACCTAGTTTAAATTAACAGCTTAATACAGTCAAACGGCCAAATCCACAAACTAAACCTTTACGTGCTGTGATGCAAACTCATAGATTAACACCATCTTGTGGTGTGTTACACTGACAGGTCAAACTTCTTTGAGAACAAAGCATTGATCAAAGTAGGCCTTTTGTTATAGATGATTGTGTAACATGACTGCCTATCAATACAATAACTTAGTGATCACATAGTAAGCTGAGCCTGATTACTTTTCACAATATTGATTAAATCATCTGCTCCTTATTATTTGTTCCCCCCAATTAAATAGCACTTTTCTACCAACTTTGAACACAGTAAGGGCTTTCCTATAACAAACATCTTTGTCTAGCTCACACTACAATACAGGCACCCTGAGAAACTGGTGTTCGGGATCTTGCCCAGGGACACTTCAACATGTAAGACTAGAGGAGCAGAGGGCTGACCTCCTGACCTTGTGGCTAAACTTAAATCTGATGTTAGATAAAGCACTGCTTTATTCACGCTCTACTCTGCTTAGTGTGAATACAAAAGTAGCATCACATCCACACAATTAAGGAGCAGGAACTGAAGAAAAACTAAGGAAATTCTGACTCTTTATTTTACTTTAAAAAAAAAAGTAAAAGAACAATCTCAAATTGAGAGTGATTCGACAAAAAGGAACGATTTAATAAGAATTTTAAATATTTCAGAGACATTTCAGTAGTACGTACAGTAGCTGTGACATAAATTAATACTCTAATTACTACTTAATAGAACTTCTGTCCTATATTTTGTCTGTCATTTAGAAATTTGACACCAAATGATAAAAACCACCCCAAAAAGTATTTAGTATTGAGCGTCCTCTTCGGTTACAGTGTTATACGTGTGCGCATTTATAATGGTACGTCCATCATTGTGTACAGTAATCTTCTCACGTCACCTTCAGTAAAATGGCAGTTGCGTAATAATTTACCGAGTCAGCTCACGATGGCAAAGTCAGCAAAACGTGTTCACCTTTTTAAAATCAGTCTAGTGGTATCATACCTCTCGCTTCCGTCCTTTATTTATCTGGGGCCACCAAATGTTTACGGGAACAGCGGGACTAGCGTTGTTTCCCTGTTTCAATGCGCACAGCCCGATGAGGCGAGTTTTAAGCATTAACAATGTCACACGACAGCTGCCGTATAAAGATCTGCTTCATTCAAGAAGGATTATCAGTTTACGTTGTCGGCACGTATTTCACAACATGATGTATTAAATTGCGTGTTTTCTTTTTACTTTCTTTGACAAAGCGATTAACTGTTAAATGCTGCCTACTTGCTAACTGCAGTGACGCAACTCAAGTTCACCGACGTCTGCGGCTAACGTTAACTAATGCTGGTTAAACTGCTTCTCGGGGTCACACAACAAGCCTACGTACTTTCAATATAAGAGTTTTTAAAAGAATATTAAAAACACAACAGACAAAAAAGTGTGACCTAAAGGGTATTTGATGATACTGCGTTCTACTTAAATGCTATTTACTTCCGCTTTTCTGGTGGGCCGCTAGCTTAGCCACCCCTCCCCCACATCGCGATTAGCCGTTAGCTTAGGCGAGGTGATGGTACTTACTTCCCAATCATGTCACAAATACCGCTACTCAAATTCGCCATGATAGTAAGAGGCTGCGTTTTTCCTTCTTTCTCGCGAGCAAAGCAATGACTGTTTAGGATCCGCTGGAGGTTGGATTTTACCATCCGGCCTCGGGTAGAGACACGACGGGCTGACTGCGCTCTGCTGCGCTCCACTCGGTAGTGAACGTTCACGGAGCTGAGAGCTGGTTAAAAAAAAGATAATCAAGCGACACAAAACGACACAAAACACCACTTCCTATTTTCAAAATAGTTGTGAGGACGTTGCGTCTTATGCAACACATTATTTACACGATATTTTTCTTTTACCATTTGGAAAAACACTTTATTACATGTTCTTCTTATTTACAAAATAAACTAAACTGATCTGGTCTAAGATTACATTGCTGCCCGCAACAATGAGAAAGTCGAAACAGATTATTTTTAATATAACAAGAACTTAGTATTCTAGCAATACATCAATGATTTGTCTTAATAACTATATGTCATAAATTTACCTTATTCTCTGTATATTTTATTAATTTCAAATTAAAAATATTAACGGGGACTATTACTGTGAAAGAGGAAAACGCATTAAAACAGCTATGCCTATTTAGAGCTAACTTTACATTACTAAGCTAATGCTAACCGTGTTAAAAATGCTAACGGAAAAGATATTTTAGGGTGCTAATGTAAAATCTCACATTTACCAATATCTGAGAAAACTGACTCTCCCTGATATGTGACTGGAAAATAGTAAATGTGATCTATGACAATGTCTCCTCAAATCATAGAAACATTTATTTAAAACGGCGATTTCTTCTGTTTATATTCTTTAGCTTGTTTTATGCTAGCACACACCAGTAGAGGGGGGGCTGTGTTTACTGGGCCCGGAGGCACCTAGAGAGAAAAACTTAGAACAAAGGACTGTATATGAGGCCTATATGGTATCTGAACTCGTATTTTCCACAGTATTTGGCTGCATTGCTAAAAGAAGTTCATGTGTATGCGTTTGAACAAGTAAATGATGCCACACTATGACCTGCAGTTTTTCCCTGATTGTATTTTCTTAGAGTATTCCCATGTCACGTTTATCTGGGTGGTTTCACTTAAAATTTAACTGGTTATAAAGGTTTTCAGATGTAATAGAAAATGATCTTACTTGTGAATTGTATATTTGAAAAGTTAGTCAATTGTAATAAGAGCATTTCAGGAAGTCTGCTCAGGTGTGACGCTTACTTACATCAAGTATTGTATTGCAAACAATACAGATGCAATAGTGCACACAAAGAATGCGATCACATCATTCCTAAATTACCCCAAACATTTCTTCTGTTTCTGTATTAGTTAATGTAATAGTTGTGTATTTTCTGATTACTTCTTCCCCTAAATGACATTTCATTTTCCTAGCAATATTTGCCAGTCTTTAATCTCTATTTTCTACTTGTTTAATTTATTGTGACTATAATGTGAAGGGTTACATGAAAAATACCACCTTTAAACTTGTGCTTATACGTTTCTTGCTAGATTTAGATAGATGTTAGGTGGTTTGGTTTACAGCATTTTTTATCTAAGTTTAATCAGATCTATGAAAATTACATCTAAGTTAATATAACAAAAAGAGTCAATTTTCATTGGAAAATGAACACATTCTGTGCTATAGCAATCACATGATGGCAAGAATGGCATTCAGTGACTTCGTGCGACGCTCCCTCTGTCCACCAGGTGGCGACAACATTCTAAAATTTCGTTTTAGTTCAATGATAATTGTTATAGGTTGAAATAAAAAAAAAGTTCATTGTAAGCTGCATGGAGAAGACCCCACTGATGTTGTAGTGGTAGTAGTAGTAGTAGGTGAGACAGCATAATCAAGTGTATCTTTTCAGATGAAAAAAATAAATTGTGTTTGTGAATCTTCTTTCAGTTCCATCTGCACTACAACACGCCTCATAACAGCCTCAAAAACACAGTGAAGCTATACTCCCAAAACACAAGAATGACCACACCTAATTTTCACACACTGAACTTAGTTATAAAACATATTTGCAGCACTTAGGAAATTTATTAGAACACCTGTTAAAAACATGAATTTTTATCATAATGTTGTGAACTTTCAACCACTAAAAACAAAGTTTTCTGTTCATGAAGTATACAACTTCAATTTATAATCTTAAAATTAGAAAATTCACGGGTGACAATCAAAATATTTGAGCAATAAAATAGAAATATTAATATTTAAATAGAGATCTAGTGCATACTTGTGTATTAACCATTACAGAAACATAAAATATGATTTTAGTGATTAGCAATACTGTTAATATTAGGGCAACTCTCACGTAAAATTTACTCTGGGTGGTATAGTCTAATAAATCTGTTAACCATTGTAGTTTATTGTAAGGGTAATCCCCTTACAATAAACTACAATGGTAAGAGAGACAATGTATTTAATTGACACTTTTTTATTTTCAGTATTTTATGGAATAATATTTTAGATTAAAAAACAGAAAACAACAACAATTAAACAGAAAAATGAACTGAAAATAAATCTGGTCTACGTCAGAGGTCTACGTCTACGTATCTATCTATCTGTCTATCTATTTTTTTTCTTCAGGAAATTATACTTAAATATTTTAGTCTCATAAATGTTAACTGAACTGAAGTGTATATAAAGCTTTACCTTGCACAGGGGGTTCATTGAGTTCATTTTAAAGGAATAATTCACCTTTTTTTGTCTTTTCCCGATATCTCTTTTATATTAGTAATTTTAAGAAAAAGATATGGTACTCTGAGAATCTTTAATCGAATCCTGGGAAATTTAAACAACCGAGATGGAGGTGGTAGAAGCATAACTTCAAAGGGGGGAATAAAAGCTTTATGAAACCTTATTTTGATTTGATTTGATTGAATCTTTATTTTGAACATGTTGAAAAAGTACAACAAAATAGAATTAAAAGAGACAAATGAACAAAGCAAAACAAAAGGAAAACGAGCAACCACAACTCCAAATAAAGTTCATGTTCAAAAAGGAGCAGGAA